TTTTTTTTTTTTTGGTTTTTCGAGACAGGGTTTCTCTGTGGCTTTGGAGCCTGTCCTGGAACTAGCTCTGTAGACCAGGCTGGTCTCGAACTCACAGAGATCCACCTGCCTCTGCCTCCCGAGTGCTGGGATTAAAGGCGTGCGCCACCATCGCCCAGCTCTTTTCTGTATTTTTAACTTGTTGTTTTGTTTCAGTTGCAAACCTAGGAACCATAGTAGTTACTTTTCTCACCACTTTGACCATACCCTACAGAAGTAACTCAAGGGAGACGTTTTCTGTGACTTAAGGTACAGTTCATCAAGTCAGCAAAGTCATAATGGAATTCATAACAGTGTGAGCATGTGGCTGTTCCTTATGTCCTAGTGAATCAGGAAGCAGAGAGCTACAAACAGATACAATCTCCAAGGCCCACCTAAGAACTCATTTCTGCTAAACTACAGGTCTAAAAGTCCTATATCCTCCCTAAAACAGCTCCATCATGCAGAGATAAAACATTCAAATCTATGAGCCTGTTGGGATACTTTATGTCTAACACATAACAGAGATAACTTTTACTGAACTATTTATCTATTTAGCTAACTTTGATTGAACACGGCTCAGAAGTCCCATATGAAAATGCCTTTTGGAGCCGGGCGGTGGTGGCGCACGCCTTTAATCCCAGCACTTGGGAGGCAGAGGCAGGTGGATCTCTGAGTTCAAGACCAGCCTGGTCTACAAGAGCTAGTTCCAGGACAGGCTCCAAAACCACAGACAAATCCTGTCTTAAACCCCTAAAATAAAATAACCCCCTCCAAATAATAATACTGTACAAACCAAGTTCCAGGACAGCCAGGTCTGTTACACAGAGAAATCCTTTCTCAGAGGGAAAAAGAAAAAGAAGAGGAAGCTAAAATAATCTTCCACGACACTTATTGTTAATAGAAAAGTTTAGCTGCATTGTAGACATATGAATCATTATAGTAGTGTCCCCCATCCAAAGGAGATCTATTCCAAGAATCCCAGAGAATACTCAGAACTATGGACATGCCATGTTTTTCCTTACACATACAACCTGTGATGAAATGTTAGCTTATAAATTAGCCAAGTCAGGGATTAACAGCAGTAATAGGAAGAGATAGTTATAACAGTTTATTTTAGTAAAAGTTATATGAATATATTTTGTCACTGAATTACTTTCACCTTTTTATGTAAAGAAATCGCCTTATAGCTCTTTCTTGGCGTGTTCAAATTGCCGGGTCCACTGCCCTTGCTCTTAGGGTTACTTGAGCACAGACACTGAGATATCGGGTATCTTACTTAGGGTTCTGCTGATGTGATAATCATGACCAAAAGCAATGTGGGGAGGACAGATTTGTTTGATTTACATGTCCTGGGATATGGTCCATTGAGAGAAGCCAAGATAGAAGGTGAAGCCAGGACCATTAAAGAACACTAGTTACTGGTTTGCTTGGTGCCTTGCTCAGCCTGCTTTTTTAAACCACCAGGACCGCTTGCCCAGGAGTGGTACTTCCCACAGTGGACTGGGCCCTCCTACATCATTAATCAAGAAAATGCCCTACAAATTTGCCTACAGAATAATCTGTTAGGAGCATTTTCTCATTTAAGAGTCCCTCTTTGTGTGGTGGTGGCATGCACCTTTTATCCCAAAATCAGGAGGCAAAGGCAGGCAGATTACTGTAAGTTTGACCAGCCTGGTCTACAGAGCTAGTTCCAAGATAGCTAGGGCTACACACAGAAACCCTGTCTCGGGGAAAGAAAAAAATCCTCCTTCCAGACATGTCTAAGTTTGTGTTGAGTTGATAAAAAGCATCCAGCACACCATGGGAGTCAGGTGACTGGTAGCAGGAGGGTGAGCATGTGTACATTAGAGGAAAGGGGATATGAGCAGGGACAGAGCTAGAGAGTGTGATGGGCCATCACCACTTAGAACAGCCTGAAGTTTCAAATTTACTAATGATTTATTTCTAAAATATTCCATTGAACATTTATGTACCTGCATGTTATTGTCCAAAGATTCAGATGACAGGGAACTCAAATGCATGAACTGAAGCCATAGTTGGGGAGGACAGCTGCATTTGGTTTTCAGTGTTGCTGCTGCTGCTAATTAAATCGCATTGCAAGTTTCTTCTATGCCCTCTTCTCTAAAGTAGTAACTCAAATAATTTCACATTCACAGCAGCTTTGGAGAGAATAGTCATTAGAACAAAAAAGACTTGAGGCCTGTAAGACTGCATCTCTTTGTTTGATGTAACAGTTTTAGATTCTCTTCCAGTATAAGTAAATGATTACTCAGCATTTAAGGTACAGAGAACATACCACGCTCTCTTCTCTCTTTCTTTCTATCTCTGTCTATCTCCTTTCTCTCTCTCTCTCTTTCTTTTGTCTGTCTGTCTGTCTGTCTGTATATGTATATGTGCAGGTATTTGTATGTGTGTGTGTCATGGAGGCCAGAAGCATTGGATTCCTGGGAGCTGGAGTTAAAGGTTGTTGTGGGTTTCCTGATATGGATGCTAGGAACTGCACCGGGTCCTCTGGAAGAACAGTAAATAATCTTAACTCCTGAGACATCTCTCCAGCCCCATGTTTGACTTTTTAAGTTCTCCAGCTAATTCTGATTCACAGAGTTGCTAGTGCTGTGGCTATAAAATTGTATTATTAACCCCTACAACGTGCCTAGTGTGGCTCCTGTGGTAAGAAATTACTTGGTTTTCTTTAAGACATTTCCATGCAAAGATTATTTTGAACTAAAAATTTAAGTGGTATTTTAGTAGCTATATCATTTTACTGTGTTTCAGTGAGTTAACCTTATTCATGTTTGTTGGGTTTTCATTGTCTTAACAAAATAGTAAGTATAGGCTGGAGGTTTGGTTCAGTATTAGATGATTCCCTGAGTTCCATTCCCAGGATGCAAAAAAGTTAAACCTTTTTACTAAGTTCATATGTTTTTCTTTTCTTTTGTTTTTATTTTTCACACAGGCCAGTCAGTGGGAGGAGCTTTTTCCAGTGCAAAGACAGCTATGTCTTCATGGCTGTCTACTTTTACCACATCTACCCCTCAGAGTCTTCCTGAGCCACCCAACGGGAAGCCCTGAAGCCAACAGCAGAAGTTACTGTGTTCTCTGAAGGGTAATGCTCCCTCCTCATCTGCTGCTCCTAGGGTCTCCTCTGTCTACGAGTCCATACCCAGGGAGCAAGATAACAAACTGTTTACATGGACAGTTGCACTCTGTCTAAATGAATGTTACAGGATGCTGAACAGATGAAATCACAACCATAGCAGGAATGGCTTTCCAGGTTGGGGGTGAAATCAACTACTTTTACTTTATTCTGAGCCTAATTAATGCACACAATGAACCTTCTAGTGAATTTTAAGTTCTGAAATTGTACATTTGTTTAGAATTTTTGCATATGTATATTTTGTTCTATTTTGCTGTTTAAATATTTAGATGGTCATAGTAATTTATATTGCCTAAAATTAAGTTATATTACTATTTTACTTTCTCTGAAGTTAACCCTAAAATGTACTTGTAAAGTGTAGGGAATGTGCATTCCAGCCTATATTATTTTGCTGAGTTCTAGGGTGAAGTTTTGTGGGGGTGGGGCGTGAAGGGGGCCTTCTACCCACTCAACACATTTACCAGCTCATTTCTTCCCAGAGCTGTGAAAGTCAAGAGGGAAAAACTCTGAGGATAAGATGTCATTTCAGATGAATTTCTTTCTGACAAAGTTGATGTGAGGCAGCAGAGATGCCACTCTGCATCCCTCCTCCTGGCTGTGACTGTGCAGGCAGTGGTGGCTCAGCAGCACTGAAGGGTTGGCACATGGCTGTAGGGCAGTAGTTTAAGGACTCGCGTGCTAGCATGATGAGCCTCAGTTACGCTGCAGTCTTAATCAGCAGCACTTGGTTATCTAAAATGTGTGCCTTGTTTCTTGTCAATGGTTGTCCATTGGATCTGGGCAGATCTGCAGGCTTTCTCTTAGTCTTACTCTGCACTGAGCCTTTCAAAGGTACTTGACTTTCCTACTTCCCTGACTGAAAAGCCTCTTTTAGTCAGTTCTACTACCTTCAAAAGACAAAGTGACCAATAAAGGTTAAGTGTAAACCGCAACTTAGCTCACATTTAGAAAACCAAGAAGTGGGCCAAGGAAATGATTTAGTGAGTAAAAGTGCTGAATGTGCAAGCCTGACAACCTGAGTTCAGATCCCTGGAGCCCACATGAAAGGCCACATCTATAATCCAGTGTTCCTGCAGTGAGATGGGAGGCTCACAAGCCAGCTGGCCTGGAGTGTGCAATGAATTGGCAGAAGCAAGAGAGACCCTGCCTCAAAACAAGGTGGAAGGCAAGACCCAACTCCTGAAGGTTATCCTCTGACCTCTGTGTGGGCAGTGTGTCGTGTACATGCTTACACGCACATGCGCACACGCACATGCACACACCTCAAATGATAGAAAGGTCAGAAGCACGAGAATGAGCCCATATCCATGCCATGAGTCACTTGGCTGGTAAAGTTTATATTACTGCAGACACGAATTGGCCAGCCTCTCACAATTTGTACACAGCTGGAGCTTATGTGTTTATCATTTATAACTGTCATTTGCTTTTCAGGGGATTTTTAATGGGTGTTCTCAGGGACTACTTATGGGGAGCAGTCTGCCTTTAGTAACAGAAGACATGTGGAATAACCATTATATTTACATTTGATTTAACAAGCAGTGGGAAAATAAGGGGCCTAATTAAGGACACTGATTATATTTCATCCATTCCTTATAAGGTGCCCTATAGACTATGTAAAGAACACAGGGCATAATCTAATATCTCTATAACTTTGCAATTTGAACTTTACACAAAATACAAACGACTTCTAGTTGAGCATAATAACTCAAAGAATCCAGTGACAGTTGATTAATGGGAGATAAATAAATTGATTAATGGGAGGACACCATTCATTTGCTTCAGCCAGGGAATATTTGAAAAGAGAAGAAGCAAAGCCACACTAAACTGCAAGGCTTTTTCATCAGTGTTGTGCCGAGACTGTTGGGATTCTTAGATGTTCTTCATGTGGCTGCAGCATGATGACGTCCTGTGGTAGTTGATATTGCTAGGAGCCCTGCCTGCTTAGCCAGTAAGGTGATAATTCTTTAGTTTCACCAGGTTTATATGACTGGGTAAATGCTTGCTGTCACTTAAAAGCAATGCAACACTCACCTTGGAATATGCTTGAGGAAAAAAATTAAATGAAATTTAATGCTGCTTTTGTATCACATTTCCATTTGAGTGTATGTATGGGTCCCCCAGCATAGGATCTCACAGTCTTACTACACAGGTCTCTAAATTGCCATCCTCCTGCCTCTGTCTCCCAAATAACTGGAATTATAGAATCTTACCATTCTGTCAGGCTTAAGTGTATATTTTAATTTAATCTTAATGTATATTAAAACTTAACTCTTAAAATGATCACTTAACTGGCTTTCAGCATAAAATAACTGGGAATATAAAACATCTTAGAATAGTCAAAAGACCATATGTCTACTTCCTTCAGGTTTAGGGAAACATTGACTTTTCAAGGGCCATGGACCATTTTGTTGTTGGCAGAGGCACTGCTGTAGCCAGTGCTGTAGCCAGTGAACGGGAGATAAGGCCCTAGCCCAGGAGTCCCGCACACCAGTGAGAGAGACTAACTGATGAGTAATCTCCAAACCCTGGCACGGGAGCCCTGGAACCAGTAGCAGGCCTTTTGACTTTTGCCCCCAGAGATGTGTCTGTTGGAGCCCACGCTTTCTCTGGTGATCAACAATGCTTTTGTGTTTAAGAACTGAGTGTAACTAGGGCCTGAGGGAGCAAAAGTCAACCAACATTTTTCAGGTTTACGGGATGCAGTCATTAGCAGTAGCTGCACTGCTGTCCAGGTGGTTTTAAGGAAGCCATTACATTCCTAGCATAATGACAGTGACATTGATAAGGGAGAGAACTAAAGCCGTGAGTGTGTGGACTAGATGAGTAGAGATTCTGAAGCTGTATATAGCAGATGGAGAGCAATTTTATGTGTACATTTGATTCATAACCAATATAAACTGTCCAACCCCAAATCCATTCGTGATTCACTAGCTCCCAAGCTTAAGAGCAATTCTCCTCGCCTTTTGAATGAAGAGGAGCTTTCTTGAACGCAAGAAGGGCTTCCTCAATCCTGTTGCTTTCCAGGTTTTGCACTAAGCAGTTACTGTTTTTTAGAATAGCTTTCCTTAGAAATTTAAGAAGAAAGCAAATTAAGAAAAAATGGGGTATTACATGGCTGGGGAACCGGGCACTTAAAGTTTGAATATGAGTATTTTGACATCAGTATTTAACCTACTTAAGGTATGAGTTCTTTAGAGAGAAGTTAGAATTGTAATCAGCTGTTTACATTTCTAAGTAAAGTTGTAACATTCTTTTTCTGGTAGTCAGGTTTTATTGAAGCTATATATCCTATGGAGACCCCTTTCCCTCCCATGTTGGTAAGTTTGGAAGTCCTGCAGGTCAGCATCCTGATCTATGTACCACAGGCAGATGTCTGCTGCAGCTTCCACAAAGGGCAGCCTGCTAGGGCAGAAGCTGTTAGCTCTGGTCTTTGGTGCTAACTGCACCAGCCTGTTAGTGTATTGGGACATTGCTTGAGATTCCTGAGTGGCACCATTTACACACTCTGGTTCTTTGATGAAAAATAGCCCAGGATTCATGGATTTCCATGCCATCTCTTGGTAGCCTTTAGCTGTGACAAAATACTCCTCAAAACACTTAACAATGATCATCATTCCTCATAACATAATGTGCTGCTAAGACTTTGTCATTCCAAGTCTTATGACTTCATTGCTTTGAAATTGCTTTTTCATAATTTCCAACATTCCACAAACTTTTTTCAGAGAGAGAAAAGACATGTGCATCTTTATTTTTTCATATAAAATAACTTCATAAAAATGACTTTCTACATTATGAAGAAGAAACTGGTTCCCGTGTATGGTATAACACTCCAAAATTAAAAGGTTGTGCATGTCTAAGGGGTTGGATATATTTTGTAAAGCTCTAAATACGTTTGTATTTCTGTGCTGTTCAGAAATTTACCTTTTTACTTATACTGATTAAAGATATAGAGAACTATATATTTAAATCATATAAATGGAACACAATTAAAGGGGTTTCCAATCTTGTTTCTCATCAACTTCTCATGCACATAGTTTGCTGCTCAAATTTCTGTTGTGTGCAATAAAAACATTTGAACATTTCAAGTGAGGTACTGAGCCAGAAAAGGTCATTGAAGTTTTCAGAAAACTGTGCTTAGAAAATATTTTATTTTCTTGAAATACTGTTCTTTTATAGATGGAAAAAAACAAGATTAAGCATTGCATGTTTTAGTCCACTTGATCATCAGTGTCTACATATAGGAAGCATTCGATTGATGACTTGGTGAAGGTACTTAGTGGTTGGGAAGTAGTTTCTAAGGAAGTTTAGCTATAGCACATATTTTATCAGACAAATGGCTTCCCTTTCCTCTAGTAATTTTGTAGTTTGTGCTGGTTCATTTCTGTTGTCGTTTGTTTCTTAAAGAATATTCAAGTTATAATCATGTCTAATCATGCTGAACTATAGAGATTCTATTGTACCGTTATTTTAAGCAAAACCTGATAATAAAATTATCCTGTTTTTCTTGCACACTTGCTATTGATCTCCTAGACTTATCTGCGTGTTGTCTGTGTGATTTGTGGCCTTCACACCTGGGCAACAGTGCAGTCTTCATTTGTCAAGAAAGCAGCACATAGGTGAACTCAAGGACTCACCGCCCTTTTAGCCTCCTCCTGACATTGCTTATGGTGGAACCTCAGCTTTCTAGCTGTGCCCTCTGCAGGAAGAGCTCTGCAGCATCTGTGGAACTCTACAGGCATGATGCAGCACAAGTACTAAGGAGATTGGTCATGAAATCACCTCATGGACAGGGCCAGGGAAGTAGCACACTGCACTAAGGCAGCCCGTTTCTCCACTTGGACTCTTAAGGTTCAGAATATTACACTGAGGGTTCCATACACATTTTCTGTGCACCCTGGTGCAGATGATATCTTTTCCCTTGGGACATGTGAGGGTTTTTGAGATGTTGAGATGACCACTACCATCTCCTTTCTCATCCTGGGGACCTACTCAGTCTGAGTCCCTGTCCCACCCAGGTAAGAGCCACCTAGTCTTCACTCTGACAGGACAGTAGGAGTTACAGTTACTGGATTTGTTAGCATCTGGAACAGATATGACCTAGGAGTCAGGTCTTTATGAAGGATAATGTAAAACAGTCTACACAAGGTTGTGGAAACACACTGACCTAGTTTCTCCATCACCAAACCTTCATCCAGCACACATTTGTGCTTTCATGGTCATGGAGTCAGGAGACAGAGTAGCCTTAGCAAGAAGTCAGAAGGCTGTACTCTTGGCTCTTGATCCTGTGAACAGCTGCCAGGAGCCACTGGCATTCCAACATATAAAGTAGGATTCAAATGATGGATGTTAGAACAAGGTCTTACTAAGTAGCCCTTGCTGGCATGTTGCTCTCAATGCCACAAATTCAGCAGTTCTGCCTCGGTCTTGTGGATACTGGAATAACAGGCATGCATCACCGCACTGGGCTATAGGACTCCAGGGTTTTTTGTTTAGTTGTTGTAGGTGTTATGAATTACGTATGTGTGCCACATGCGTACTTGGTCCCTGCACAGACCGGAAGAAGGTATGGATCCTCTGAAACTGGAGTTATAGATGGCTGCAAGTTACCATGTAGGTGCTGGGAACCAAACTCAAGTCTTCTGGAAGAGCAGCTAGTGCTGTTAATCACTAGCCATCTCTCTAACTCCTTTTACCTTGGTTTTCAAAGGTCAGAGTCTCATCCCTTTCTGCCACTGTTCAGCCAGCCAGCTGTAAACTTGGAGTTGTTTCTAGGTGGGACCTACAGTGCACAGCACTGCCTACCTGTACACTTCTCTAGGGCATGAATGTGCAAGGATTCCAGGGTCCTGAAAAGACTCATGTCTTCATCTTCAACTGGTGCCATCTTGTTCCCCAACCTCCAGAGTGTTTGGATTCCTATTATTTTGTATTGTTACCAATATTGGTACTACCAGACTTAAACTTTGGCCAGTCTGGTGGGTATTTCTAGTCTGAAATATGTGTTTCACTGCATGTGGTTAAAGTTGGGAGCCATTTCATTCATTTCTACTTCTGAAAAATGCCTGTTGACACATACTTTTAATCCCAGCATTAGGGAGACAGGCAGGCGGATCTCTGCTGTGAAAAATGCTTTGTACACTGTAAAAATTTGTCACTTATTATTTCAATAAAATGCTGATTGGTCAGTAGCCAAGCAAGAAATATAGGTAAGGCAACCAGCCTAGAATTCTGGGAAAAGGAAAGGCACAGATGCAGTCGTCATCCATCCAGAAACAGAGGAACCAAGATAAGAATCCCTTACTGAGAAAAGGTACCAAGCCACATGGCTAAATATAGACAAGAATTATGGGCTAATTTAAATTGTAAGAGGTAGTTAGTAATAAGCCTGAACAATAACCCAAATAGTTTATAATTAATATAAGCCTCTGTGTGTTCCTTTGGGACTGAACAACTGCGTGACCAAGTGGAACAGACACTTTGTCTAAAGATCTCTGTGAGTTCAAGGCCTGCCTGGTCTACAGAGTGAGTTCCAGTACAGCAGGGCTACATAGAGAAACCCTGTCTCAAAAAAAACAAAAGAAAAAAATGCCCATTGTCTTACGTTCTCTCATACACACATATGAAGAGCACATGGTATAACAAAATACCCAAAATAGTAAATCTGAAGAAAAGGAAGTTATTTCTCATCACCCTAGATGACAAGAATCCAAGATTAAGTTGTCACTAGGCTCATTGTCTTGAGAGCCACTTCCAAGATAATTTCTTTCTTAGTTAGGGTTTCTATTGCTGTCCTTGAACTCTGGCAGCCTTTACCTTCTGCGTGCTGGGATTAAATGTGTGTACCACCACACCCAGCCCTCTGTTTTTAGATTCCTTTATACTTTAGTTCCTTTTCACAGGTTGGAAGCTTAGCTGGGTGGGGCCTTGCTCTGAGGCCACCACTCCATTTATTCCACTAAGCATCAGACTTTGATCTGTTTACACTCCCTGTCCTGTGCTGTAGTTTACTTTGTATTTTGCCTTGCTCAGCTTGCTCTTTTTCATTATAGATCTGCATAAGACTGGTCACTAATAGGCACACAGCACTCAATGCTAGGTTGTTTGGAACTATCCTCTGCCAAAGCTGTTAATCCATGACTCCAGTTTATCCTCAGGCAGATTTTTTTTTTTAAAGAAAGGGGCAGAAAGCAGCCACATTCTCCAAAATATCAGAACTTTAGGCCACATATTAATATTCTTCTCAAACCACTTGAGGTTGGCTCCCACAGTTCAAATCACCCTCAATCTTCCCATTAAGCCCAAGACTTTAAACATTCAACTGCTTTTCTAATCCCAAATCCTAATGTTATCCATATTCCTCCAAACAAAAACATAGTTATATCAGAACAATACCCCAATCCCTGGTACCAAATTCTGTTTTAGTTAGGGTTCCTATTACTGTGAAGAAACTTTGACCATGGCAACTCTTATAATGGAAAACTTTTAACTGAGGCTGGATTATAGTTTAGAGATCTAGTCCTTTGTCATCATGATAGGAAGCTTGGCAGCATACAGGCAGACATGGTGCCGAAGAGGTTAACTGAGAGTTCTCTATCTGGATTGGCAGGCCACAGAAAGAATGACACTGGGCCTGGCTTGAGCATCTGAACAACTTCAAAGCCCACCCCCAAATGATACACTTCTTCCAACAAATCACAATCCCAGAGAACCTAGACAGCAATGAGGACCCTAAGAGAGACTTACATGGATCTAATCTACATGGTAAATAGAAAAAGACAAGATCTCCTGAGTAAATGAGGATCATGGGAAAGAGTAGAAGGGTAGGAAGAGGAAGGGAAGGGAATGGAGAAATTATATAGCTCAATAAAAACAACAACAACAAAATCCAGCCACATTGAGCCTAATGGAACAGAAAATGGGAAGTAGCCTTGAGCACATGGGCATAAGAGACCGCTTTCTAAATATAACACCAGTAGCACAGACATTGAGAGCAACAATAAATAAATGGGACCGTCTGAAACTGAGAAGCTTCTGCAAGGCAAAGAACACAGAAGACAAAAAGGCAGCTTATTGAATGGGAAAAGATCTTTCCCAACCTCACATCAGACAGAAGACTGGTCTCCAAGATATGTAAAGAACTCAAGAAACTAGACATCAAAATACTAAATCCAATTTTAAAAAAGAGAGGTATGGAACTAAACAAAATTCTCAACAGAAGAATCTCAAATGGCCAAAAGACACCTAACGAGATTAATTTCCAACATGAATGTTAAAGAGTACAAAGTCTTTCAAACTGGGCACATATGGGTGTATATGTTCTGCATACAATTTCTTTGTCATTTTGTGTTTTGCAAATATTCCCTATGATTCATTCTTCATGATTCCTTGGTGCCTAGAGTTATTTTTCTATTTTTAGTTATGTCTATATTGAGGGGCAGGTGTTCAGAGCACCGTGCCACATGGAGTCTAGAAGAGGGAATCCAACTCATCAGAGCTGAAGTTGCAGGTGGTTGGGAGCCACATGAAGTGGATGCTAAGAACTGAACTCTGATCCTCTGCAAGAGTAGTGTGCACTCCTAACCACTGAGCCTTCACTCCAACTCATGAATAGAATCCTTTTTTTTTTTACATCCATTTTATATTAACGAAATGACTTCTACCTTAAAGAACATTTCATACAACGTTACTGCCCAGGGCATTTTACAAATAATAAACAATTCACCGAGATGATTAACATTCACGTATGTAATTAGAGCTTACAAATGTACAAAATTTTGAGTAACAAACACTTTAAACTTATTTTTCAAATATTCAATTAGCACCCCCCTCCCCATATTTTGATTACAAAGAAGCACAATGGGTTCTTAACACAAATGGCCAGTTTGTGAGAAACCAGGCGGCAGCAGACAATGTAAGACCAGCCAAAGAACTGCATCAGTATCAAAGGGACAGACCCAATTCCTCTTCTGTAGTATAAAAGAACATAAACCCACATAGTTAAATACTAGTTAGGGGAAGAACATCATAGAGTAGATAGCATTTATTTTCTCTACATAGACTTGCATATCTTAGTGTAAAGCATCCGCTTTAATGTCAGTAGCAGCCTACCACACACGGTCCTTGCTGGATCTAGAGGGAATGGGATGGCTATTTAAGTAGGACCTAGAGATCTTATCAAGTGTTTGTTTGGTCAGTCTTATTTTTAATGATGTAAGTGTTTTTATTATTGGGTTAAACCAACTTTAGTAATAAAATTCACAACTAGAGCAGATTTAATATTATTGTACCTGAAAAAAACTAGACAGCATAGTCTTTAGTATGTCATTAAAATAGTGGTTTGATTAAACAATAAAAAGTATGGAAGTTCGTGTATGATAAACTTATAAAGTAGTATTTTAGAAGTTCATATGTCTGTATTGTCATAACTCTGGACAGCGTGAATAAAATGTGCCCGACTAAAGAGAGATGAAATTCCCAGTTAGTGCTGGATTGTTCTGGGGCAGTGCACTTGTCTTCATATTGTTTATCCGGAGGTGGGACTCCAGTCCACCAGCTGTAGCTTTAATTTGCTAAGCGATGAAGCATCTCATCCTGGTCCATCCATTCCTTCCTCCATTGTTTCAACATCTCCATTTAGAAATGAGACACTTTGTGCCTAGGAATGTGGCGTTGCACGGTCACTGCAAATGAATCCACTGGTAGGAGAGGGTACCGTCATTTAGAGGACAAAGCAAGAAGTCATATCTTTACAGTCACAACGCATGCTCCAGCTCTTCCTAGGCACAGTGGGGCAACCTGGGTCCATTTGTTCGTCTGGGGATCGTAAGCCTCCACTATGTTCAGGTAGGTCTGCCCATCATAACCCCCGACAGCATACAGCTTGTCCCCAAGCAAACAGACCCCCACTGCGTCTCTGCTGATGCTCATGGACGCCACTGCAGTCCACATGTCTGTTTTGGGATCATATCTCTCCACACAGTCGGAAAGTCTGGAAGTCAAGTTGGATGTGGGAGCATCGTGTCCTCCGATCGCATACAGCAGTCCGTTCCAGGTTGTCACACCTACGCCACCTCTCCTTTTCGACATCTGGGCACACGGGGTCCACTTGTTAGTGTGAGGATCAAAGCACTCTACTGACTTGAGGCAAGAACTCCCATCGCGGCCACCAACTGCATAAAGTTTTCCACTTAGTACAGCCACACCTACTGTGTGTGTGGGGTGGACATAGTGGCAACAAAATTCCACTGGCGAGTCTGAGGGTCCCATCGCTCCACAGTGTTCAGATAGCTCCAGCCATCATGCCCTCCTACCGCGTACATGGGGCCTTCCAACACGGCCACGCCAAGCCCATGCCTATGTGTGGACATAGGCAGCATCACACTCCAGGACTTCGTTTTGGGGTTGTAGCACTCTACCGTGTTCAAAGTCTTCAGTCCGTCGCGCCCTCCAACCACGTACAGTTTGTCATCTAACACCGCGACACCGAACTGCAGTCTCCTCCCGTTCATGTTTGCTACGGGCGTCCACATATTTGTACGGAGGTCGTACTTCTCAATGCTTGTTGCTCCTTTTGTTGAATCCATCCCGCCAACTGCAAACAGTGTTCCAACAGTCGACTTGCGAGGTTTCGTCCGAGGACTCTGCAACATGGGTCGTCTCTCAGGTAATAAGCGATACTTCATTGCTTCCATAATGAGTTTCTGACATTCTATGTCATCCCGAAAAAGTGCATTGTTTTCCATGTCTGCCAGGAACTGTGGTGCAAGGAGAGGTAGCCTAATATAAGCCAAGAGTTTACTGAGATCTTTCCGCCTCTGCTCCAAATCGTGCCGGACCCACGTAAGAAGAGCGTTGAGTATTGTCTCCTCATTAGGGATGTTCATGTCATCACTGGCCAAGAGCTTTGCGATTTCATTGGCTGGGAGTAAGACAAACTCCTGGTTTCTGATTACGTCCATAAAATGTTCCATAGTGTAATTGTGGGCCACCTTATGCAAATCTGTGCAGCCCTGGGCATCGGCAAAAGAACGGATTCCAAGGCAGTTGGACGGGTGAAGCTGCTTCATGAGAAACTTACAGCATGCTTTCACAACCTGGGAGAGCTGCAGAAGGCACGCAGTAGACAGCAGGCACTCGATGTTGTCTTCTTTTAGTTCAAGGCGGCCTGTGTATGCGTACTGAATTAAGGACCACAGTGAGTTCGGTTCCACACCTTCCATCTTTATTTCTTCTTGCCTTGCCTCCCTGACATCATTAGTAAACATAGCAGCGAAATAATCCGAGACGGAGGAGAGCACCAGTCTGTGAGCCGGAATCCTGCGATCGCCAGCGACTAATTGCACAGTTGCTTATGTCTCAAGTAGTTCTCCATTTTTTTTTAAATGTTTGCTCTGCATGGTTAAGGGCTTGGAAGAATTCATCTGATGAACATGGCTCCATAGTATGGCAGGATGACAGTGTCTGACTGCTATTGGAAGTCCGAGCGGGGTGGGGAGGGAGGCCCGGGGTCACTGTGGCGCGGGGCGGCGGGCGGGGAGGCGGCGCGGGGCGCGGGCGGGCGAGCTCGGCGGAGGGATGCTCGGCCCCGCGCGCGCCCGCAGCCCCTTCCCCACAGCGGCGCCCCGCGCAGCAGCCCTCCCGGGCCGAGCCACTCCTCTCCGGCAGGCGACGCCAGGCCAGGAGTCGAACTTGTCCCGCAGCCCCCCGAGGGGGCGGGCGGGCACGCGCGCGGCAGCGAGAGGGGGGTCGAGCACCCGCTCGCCCATGAATAGAATCCTTACTATAGTCAAATATTTATATTTAAAGATTTTGCGTTTTAGTTAAGAAACCCTTTACCCCCAAGATCATAAAGACACTCTGCAATGTTGTAGAAGTTATTTAGTCCCCTTGCCGTTCACATTCAGCACTACCTGGCCTTTCTTCTTTAGAGATGTGTAAAGTCAAGATGCCCGACAAGGATAGTATATCTTGCTGTTTCTTATTTATCCATGTAAGATCTCTTGTGAAGCTAACTTCTCATCCCTGTGCATGCGTGCAAAAACATGAGAGAAACATAGGATCCAAGTAAGAAGAAAAGAGAACCAATTTCTGATAGCAATTAAATATTAGCGGGGCGTTCTCCTTTACCATATCTATGTTTTGTCACGTTTGTTTCAGGTCTTGGGACAGTGTTCCCTCAGCAGCACCACTTCGTAAAGATGGATGAAGGGACCTTGTTCTGGTACTCTGATTGGCTGGTGTCCTCAAAGTCAAATAATCACACAAATGTCCAGTGTTGCCAAACTGTTCTGAGCAGCCACAAACTTTGAGGACCTTTTAACTGTACCAGAGACTTAATTTTCCCCCAGGAATCTGATGTTTACAGTCTGTGACCACTTGAAAGTCCTGAGTTAACATAGCCTGAGTCCCTCCTGCTGCATATTGAGCGCTGCCTTCTCTGAAGTGTTTGAATATCTGCTGTGTCATGCATATTACATGGTAACATGCGCTATCCTTAGCTGACTGTAGCTTGCTGCCAGAGGTGGGCAGGCGCCAGAGGGTAGAGTGTACTTGAGTTGTGAGGCAGGATACTGAGGCAACACGCCTTCCGGGTGACAACTGTTTGTCAGGGACAATTAGGTGTCTTCCCCGTGAACCTAAGTGAAGATTAACTTGTAATACACTAAGGACCCCAGAGCTATGAGAACAGCACAAAGTAAGGCTAGGGAGCAGCAGCATGGCCTGGAAAAACCAAATGTTCAGGGTGGCAACAAGGGTCAGAACAGCGATAGGCCAGCTCAGGACCAGGAGAGCCCCATGAGCCTATTGAACACAATGATTAAAGAGAGAAGTGGTAGGGCTTCCTAGGGCAGGCTGTTTCAGGAACTGTTTCTGGAGCTGGTCACCACAGCCTCTGCTTTCACTGAGCCATAGGGCTTCGTCAGTGTGTCTCAGCTGCTTTCTCTAAATTCATCTATTACTCCTGGCCTTTCTCACTGGCATAACCTCAGCTTCCCACCCACCAAATCAGATTGTATGTTCCCCTCTGGAGAAATTCCCAGGAATCCACAGGGATGACCCTAGCTATGACCCTAATCAATAGAGGAGAGGGGGCCCGAACTGGCTTTGCCCTGTAGTCAGACTGATGAACATCTTAAATGTCACCATAGAACCTTCATCAAGAAACTGATAGAAACAGAGGCGGAGACCTGTATCAGAGCACTGGACTGAGCTCCCAAAGTCCAGCTGAAGGGTGGGAGGAGTGAGAATATGAGCAAAGATGTCAAGACCATGATGGGGACACCCACTGAAACAGTTTATTTGAGATAATGGAAGCTTACCAACTCCATTAGGACAGGGGGAAAAAAAAAGCATAGTTTTTTTCCAAACTAGTCCCTCTGAATGTGGGTGACAGTTGTATGGCTAAGGCAGACTGTGGGGCCACTGGCAGTGGCACCAGGACTTATCCCTACTGCTTGTACTGGCTTTTAGGGAACCTATTCTCTTTGGATGGATACCTTGCTCGGCCTAGATATAGTAGGGAGGGCCTTGGTCCTTCCACAAAGCAATGTGCCTTACCCTCTCTGAGGAGTGGATTGGGAGTGAGCTGGAGAGGTTAGGTAGATGGAAAAAGAGGAGGTGAGGGAGTGGGAGCTGGGATTGGTATGTAAAATGAAAAAAAAAAGATTGTTTTCTTTTTAAAATAAATAAATTAATTAAAAAAAAAATAAATTGCATGTGACCCAAACACAATAAGTCCGAGAACAAAACTTTCATGACTGGGTTCTCAGTCAAAATCCGTCACTGGGAGAACATTGCTCCTCGGAGTTTACCAGAGGTTAGATCAGTGCCTCTCCACCTTCCTAATGCCTCGACCCTTTGACACATTTCCTTGTGTTATGCTGACCACCAACCATAAAAGCTTTTTCGTTGCTACTTCATAACTAATTTTGCTACTGCTATTAATTGTAAATGTATCTGATATGCAAAATATTTGATGAGTGACCCCTGTGAAAGGGTCACCCAACCCCTAAAGGGTCATGGCCCCCAGGCTGAGAACCACTGGGTTAAAGAGTAAGGTGAATGATGAAGAGGCACTGTAATCCATTGTAGGCATGTAGGGGAGGCCAGACTGAGAACGTGCGCATCTGGTCCAGCTACTGGAGACACGGTTTTACCACGTACTGATGTATTCAAGCAGAGAAACCTACTCCGTGTGCTTTAAACCCAGGGTAGTTTGTATGAATGAAAACTCCATCTGTAGCTAACATCTGGATTCTTCTATCCAATCTAACCCGTGAGTCTGCTTTCAGCAGGAACTTGTACTTGCTCTGGGGAATAAAGTGAGGAGTAGACAAAGGATGGTAGGGCACTCACTGAGCACTCTGTGGACCCCTAGACAAGTTCTGCTGCTCTGGTCTGTAGGCCTATATTTCTCTGTGGCACAAAAGCCATAGGCCCAGTCTGAGCTGATCACGTAGCTCTGTAGACAAGCTGTCTCTGCCTAACAAAAGCAAGGATGTACTTGTTAGAAATGTAGATCTCCTGAGGAGAGGTGTTGAATGAAACGGGTCAGGATGTTTAGTGCTTCCTTCCTTTGTAATTTGGAGGATGTCTTATAAAGATGCTAATTCATGGCCTACCTGACTGCTAGATGCTGACGTGACCTGAGCCCAGGCACCTGGTTGCCTAGGAGACAGCCTAATGTGTTCCTGCTCTATTGATGTGAGGATATATAAGCTGTTTGGAGAATAAATGAGAGATCTTTTTGGTGAGAGATTTTGCCCGTGAAAGATGACCGTGTAAGTTGCGTCTGATTATTCCTCACAACTCTGTTTCAGTCCAGTTAGGGAATCTGTGTTGGACCCACATGGGCTCCGACACTGGTCTCAGCTGCTAGGGCCTGAATTGGTTCTTTGTGCAGTAGCCACCATCCATTTACAAACCGAGGCCTCTGCCCTTGATAAATCGTCCACTTTCACCACGTGCCTGTGAGATGGAAATTCCCGGGTAGACTTCTGACAGACCAGTCAGTACTTTCCGTTGTTAAAACCACAAGGTTAGAGCCAGGTATAGTTAGTGGTACAAACCTATAACCCCAGCACGGCAAAGTCAAGAAAATAATAGTTCAAGGCCAGCTTGGGCTGCATGATGAGACATTGTCTCACAAAAGAAAAACTACAGGATTAATAGGACTGGATTTTTTTTTTAACTGTGTGTGTGTTCTCAACCTTTAAAGTGCATTGTTTTTCAAAAAATGGGAACATGCAGATGTGTAAGAGCATAAGCATTCCTTAGTGTTCAGCAGTGGGGATATGCTGTGGTGTAGGTATCTCTTGAGTGTGGCCTAGGGCACGTGAACCTTGTCCCCAGCGTAGCAAGGGTGAGCAGTGAAACTTTTCAGAAGTGGGCCTGGTGGGGATGTTAGACCACACTGTCCCTCCCACTCTTGCCCCTCTGACGTGTGACCCCACATATTGTCCAGCCATTGTGATGACACCCATAGTAAGGACCTCAGCAGGCTGATGCTGATGTCAGTGCCATGTTTAAGTGTCTTTTTAAAATTGATAATAAATCCCTCACTTTCATACTTCAACACTGAAAACACTTTTTAGTTCAATTAATTCCATCCTCTTGAGCCTTAATCCAGGACAGCCAGGGGTACATATACCCTGTCTCAAAAAGGAAGACATAAACAAGCTAGTCAGTAACTACTGTGGACAAGGTTCCTGTCAAATCCATGGTGCCAGGCAGTAGAACGATGGTTGCCAGGGCCCTGAGGAAAAGGGTGTGGAGAGTTAGGGCACAATGACACAGAGCTTCAGATGAGGAAGACGGAAGAGTTCTAGAGATGGATAGTGAGGGCTACAAAACAGGATGCATTGCGAATCCTGCTAATCAGCATCATAAAGTCGTTAACAAATTAAAGAAAAAATAGTCAAGGTTCAATTCCACAGGGCTTTTGGTCAATGTAAAAAAAGTTCCTAATTTCTTGTCTTCTACTTTTACTGTGTGTATCCTATAGGTACATGTTAATTTTGAGCATATAAAAGGCTTTGTTATATCCCATTAAAAGGACTGTTTGTCAGTACACAAAGACATATAAAATAGGTATATAAATAAACACTGATAAGAAATCATAAACTTATTTTACAATTCTTTGGTATATGTCTCAGTTTACTTTCTAGAATCATAATAAAACACCAAGACCAAAACAACTTGGGGAGGAAAGAGTTTATTTCAGGTCAGTATATGACCTAGTATAGAGAGAATCAGGACAGGAATTCAAGAAGGAACCTGGAGGTCATGGAGGAATGCTGCTTACTGGATTGCTCTCTATGACTTACGCAGTATATTCTACCCAAGACCATCTGCCCAGAAGTGGTACCAGTCACAGTGAACTGGGCCCTTAACAACCATTAATGAAGAAAATACCTCTATAGGCCATTCTGATGGAGGCATTTTCTCTATTGAAGTTTTTTCTTCCCTGATGAACCTAGCTTGTTTCAAGTTGACAAAAAACAATAAATGAAGCATATAATTGTACCTTAGTATATAATTAATAATTTAATTATACCACTAATTAAACATGAAGCAAACTTACATACTAATGAGAAGGGTATGCATTCTTTTAAATAAAGAATTAAATCTTGGCTGAATATTTGACAGTATAAGACATGGAGCATCTTCAGTGTTTTTAGAGTTGGTTGATGAGAATGCACACACATATACAAACATATTTACTTTTATTTATGTGTGC